GAGCATTGTTTGGCCTGTCCTGAGTTAGAAGTCGTTTGAATATCAATCTAAAATTTTAAATAATTAAATAATAGTTATTAAAATGTAGAGTTTTAAATCCTTTTTAAAATACATACCCAAATTCATCGTAAATACCTTTGGCATTAAAATAAAACATGAACAGGCAAGAATGTTCCAAAAACATCACAACAAACAAGTATTGTGACTGAAGCCTTTTCGTTGTAGCTGCAAAGTTTCTTAGGCCCTTTCAACCTTTGCGACACACAACCTTAAAGTTGCCTTTGATCACATTGAAGACCAGATTTCATCACAATTAAAAATGTGAAACAGCTTAGTTGCAAATCCATATCATGTATATTGTACATATCAGACACTTAGACACTTGTGCAAACCTTGATTTAAGAAATAAAAAAAGATTATAAAGTAGTTTATTAAAATGAGCAGTTTATATAAAAAGGACAATTTGTAAACACTAGCAAAAGGCAACCCGTAATACGGGTTTTGGTCGGTCTGTTACATAATTAATTTATAGTAGCTGTTTTCCACAATTTAATCTTGCAAAACCTTAACTAATACCCTTTTAGAAAATTGCCTTCAGCTTGAAAAAATTAATCCATCTGTAAAATTAACATAAAAATTATGAGGAGGTAAAATAATTTACCAACTACTACTTAACATTAAGTAATTTACAAATGGCACAGGTCATAACAGTGTAAGGCAGAACCATTTTCATCGACCTTCCTAAGTTTAACACAATACGTTTTTAGTTACTGACGCAAAATAATAACACTTGGTTATACTTTAAATTGAAGAAAGTGTCAACTAAATCCTTAAAATAATTTTTATAACACGAACCATTAAGATTAAAATGAAGTTAACTTATATTATACAGGAGTTATCAATTTTTTGCTATCCCCTTGATTAATTGTTCTTTAGAAAAGAAAATTGTTAACTTAAAAATATTAAATGCACACGTTTAAATAAATTTATAAAAAATAACAAAGTTTATTATACTACGCAACTGAGTACAAATACCTTTCAAACAAAAGAAAATTTAATTTACGATCAAACATAGGTATAACAAATTTTTTAATACATTAATGCATCATAGAACAAACTAAAATAAAAATTATAAGAGATAAGTAGACATAAAAATTTGTAAACCAAGCTGACCCGACCCGGGTCTTGTTAAGTCTGTTCAACACAGACCATTTGTATATTATTTATTTGGCCTCTTTATTTCATAAAATTTTTAGTAAACGGTAATTTGCCACCATTTACTAAAAATTCCTTTTGTAACTCGAAATTTCATTTTTCTAAATATTTTGGCTCTAATTAAGAGGTTCCTTCCCTCTTTTTGCTTTAATGGTGGCCTGGTGAATAAAATAAAATATTAAAATGTAAAACAATGATCTACTTATATAAAAATGTTTTCTTTCTTTCCTCAAAAGTGTTGCAAATACAGACTAAGCTAACTAATTAGTTAAACACATAAATAAAACTTAAGTAACTCGATATTAATGCGCAAAACTACAATATTCTCCATATTTTTAAAGGTTTTTAGTTAGGACCGCCCATTCAACCCATACGACCCCCCAATCAATTCTCTCTCTACTAATCAATTCTCAATACTAATTCTTATTTAAGTAATTCTCTACTAATCAATTCTCAATACTAATTCTTATTTAAGTCTTATCTAATAGAGAGAGGAAGTGTTTTAAAAACACCATGTTAGAAAAAGTAAAAAAGTCATGCAATAAATAACAGTAACTGGTTTTATTATGCTACCAATAAACAAAATTATTTTTACCTTAACTAAAAGTTAATTTCCAGCATTTCTTAATTTATTTCCAGCTTCTAACTGTTGACAAATGATTAATATTGTAAATTTCACATCATATTAAATTTACAAAATTAAAACCATGTTTCAACAGTAAGCAAAATAATCAAGTGATGACAAAGACAACTAAAAAAAAAATGAACAATTATATTAAGATTACAAAAGTAAAAAAAAAAAAAAAAAAAAAAAAAAAAAAAAAAAAAAAAAAAAAAAAAAAAAAAATCATTTAAAACTGAAATTTTTATTATTTGTTACTATAAATAGTAAAATTCATACTTTGCTTTATTTCAAAGTGTCTAATGTAAAGTCAAATAATAGACATCAACAGCGCTTGACACTGAATTCTGCCAAGTAAGTTTTTGGTTCATCAAGCAAAATTTCTTATATTTCAACGACAATTAATTTTATCATGCCTAGATCTATTTCTTTCATATGGCAACAATTTCAAGTCACCTATAACCATTTACACTAATAACTTCTTCGAGCCTAATATTATAAATCTGTTATCATTAAATATATATTACCAGTGGTTATGCTACTGTTACAACTGAATAAATGAACGTTTTATATTTTTACAACTGAAAAATATAAAACAAAATTTATTTACATTATTTTAATTTAGCAAAGAATTTAGAACACAGTGCAAAGTTATTTGCATTGTGTTCTAAATTCTTTGCTAAATTAAGAAAGCCTTCAGGCACAATCTTAATGCACAAAAATAATAAATGCAGAATCTTGTATAAAAAATGAAGCAATGTCAGTCTAAAGTAATATATATGTATGTATATATATTCAAATTTTTTCTTTGAGATAATATTCATATAGATTCATAGAGAAATATAAAATATTCCGATATATAGGCACATTTAAGTATATAAACTTACCTGTCAAAAATTACAGTCAGTTTTTCATGTTAAATACATAAAATATATATCTAATATAAAATTAAACAAAAAATTAAACTTACTCAAATCAGTAACAGTTCGACTGTCTAAATATTTTTATTATTAACCCTTCTATTTAAAAAATAAAAACAAATGATTTGAAGTAACTAAAAAGCACTTTAGCTCTTTCCAATTGCACTAAAAAATAAAATAAATCTTGCTTGCTAAGTTGATTAATTCTTAAGAATCTGATAACAAATAAGTAAAAAACCAAGAACAAACAAACATTTATTTACTAAAACTACTCTATTTAAACAAATTAAAGTATACAGAGAACAACATTGATACTCCT